CTACTACCACTACTACTACACCCCCCTACGACGACTACTACTACGACTACGACTACGACTACGACTACGACTACGACTACGACTACGACTACGACTACGACTACGACTACGACTACGACGACGACTACGACAACGACGAAAATGCACCTATACCACTACCACCATCACTGCGACGACGACTACTAATTACTACATGCATGAAGCCTGAAGTCCCGCCGCGGAAGCCTGACTCGGAAGTCTTACCTTCGAGGACTGCTACTCGAGAATGGCATTCCGTTCGTATCTAGAACTTGGCGGGCTGAAATTAGGCGTAGTGACTGGTACTCCGCCGAAAATGTTCGATATGTTAAAGTCATCACGAAAATCAGGCGAGCACCGTAAGTAAAAGACCAGGGACTGTTTCCTGCCTATCGAATCTCACAGGCAACATGCCCGTGTCAGTGTACCGTTCTGCCTAAGACTTCGTCACCCATGGCTCCACACCTTCAGATTCTCCGATCATTGCCGCCTTGAGCCCGGCCTAAGCGAAGGCTCTAGGCGAAAGAACACCGAAATCACTGCATGCCACTAGTATGTCCTCGATCCATTCCATGAGGCCCATCATGTCCGCCTTTGCGCGCTTCGGCATGTCAAGCTCCTCCGGCGACTGGATGCTGCACAGGAAGTCAAAGCATTGTGAGGGCGTTCACAAGAAGATGGATCATGCAAACACTGCCATCCTTCTTGGGCATGTTCTTGTGAAACATGCGCTGGGCCTTGGCAAACTGTTGCAGGGTAAAGTGTACCGTTTGGCGAGTGATGCGCGATATGTCTCCAGAGAATGCTCGTGTCAAGAATCGGTTTCACTTCCGCCAGGCATTGATAGACGCACCAGCTGACAAAGAGAGCCCGATTTCTGCGCAAGGTTTAAGTCAATCCTCGGGGCCCTGGCAGTCGTGGCTCTACTGTAATGTGCCCTGGCTATGTCTGCAGCCTGGACCTTTCAACCCTTTGTCCAGACCCGAACCGGAAGTCATCAAGGCTCGCGGGAAGATCATGAAATTTCATCCAAGAAGTTGTAAACCGACGGTCTTAATCACAGTTTTCTGTTTCCGTGGCCGAGAGCCATCGAAAAGCGACTCACTTGGGTCCCGGCCGTAGACTCCGGTGCCTCAGTGGCCTCCGTGGTGTTGCCTCGGGCCCCACCCCACGCGTCGAGGTGCTTCGTTATTGGGCGACAAAGCTTTGGGGGTTTGGGTCGTTCATGTGGGGAAATTCAAGACGGTACTTTGCAATCTGGTGGAAATGTGGATAGCGAACCCGCCCAGTCGCCTCTTCATCTGTGTTGAAGCATTTTCCAACGAGAATCATTTGCTGCGAACTGGGTCTGGACTAATGACAATTCAGCCCATGTCCCGAAGCGATTCTTCTTTCGAAAGGACAGACTACCAAGGCAGTGGAGCCGGGCAACGGCTGAACTCCGGGTCTGGCTCCAGCTCCGAAGCCTTGCTGGAAGCCTTGCTGCGCTGCCTCGGACATGGGCAGCTTTTTGCTCTACAGGAGCGGTGATGGGGGAGAGATGAAAGCGATAGGAGCGAGCGAGCGAGCGAGCGAGAAAGCGTTCGCCCTCGTTGGGCTCGAGGGCCCGACTTTCTGTGCCTGTAACCTTCACTGTCTGGAGCATTTGTCGTTCTTCCTGTCGCAGCGACTCAGTCGGCGCAAGTGTATCAGTGCTCTTTGCCCTCTGTTGGAGAAACCACCCTGGCTCTCTCCATAGGGCCTTGCACGACTCAAGTACTTGTAGTATAGACCCAATTCGATGATTCCGGCACTAGATGTGTCAATTCTGCCAGGATGGCCCGACTGAGGGGCATCGAACGACAAAGTGTACGAAGTCTATCAAAATAGGCACCTCATTCGAGAATGACAACAAGATAACAAGAAGCAGCTGACAACCCCACAACTTCCACACCTTGGACTTCACAGCCCAAAGGCGAGACCCCAAAACATGCTAATGCTGCAAAACCCTCTAATCAGACTCCAGTCAACACACAGACACTCACACACACACACACACACACGCATACACGTTGAGCATTCAGGAGGCTCTGTACTTCGGTCCTAGTTGCCGAGACATGGGAACGCCGCACGGGTCCGCTCGCTCCTGCCGTGGTCTTCCCATTATGGGTTCACATTCGAGGCAACACCGCCATCCTGACATCTTATCTGTGCAGGTTTGCTCGGGTCTGGCGACAGTGTATGTTGTGGTACTTTGGAAGGCTCCGTCGCTCACGATGCAAGATGTGTCGGACTGAGATCAGACGGTACAACAATCAAGATTGTTGCAGAGTTCTTTCCTGGTTTCGGCTGCAGGTTCAAAAGTTTTGATCTTCTTGCCCGAACAGTGTGAACCATCTAAATCCTAAGGCAAAATCCCCATCTCGACGCAGATTCAACACGCTGATTCCTCTCCACCTCTAGACCTCTAGTCTGTTGGTTGAGCAGGTGACTTCCCCGAGTGCAGCACCACTACCGGATCAGTTGGCGCTCGTTTTCGGGAACTGCGGCCTTGAAGCTCGACGAGACTGTGTAGCATGTTGGACTTCACGGCTTAGACCCTCTCGGAAAGTTTTCTTTCTCAGCCGTGGCGTCTTCTGCAAAGCTCTTTCAATACCTGCGAGCGCTTCAAGTAATCGAGTCGACTGAGTTCACGTGGTGTGCTGTAAGTCGCACGAATCGGAGTTGATGAGGTTCCTCGCTAGATTCTGCCTTCCCCTATTGGATTCTTCCGCATGTTCAGCATCTGGAGCATTCGGGTGTGGCTCTTGGATCAGTACTGATCTTTGCATCGCTCTGTGATGTTCGGTTTGAAGAACTAGGTTAGCAATGCCCGTTGAATCTTGGGCGGTCCTCCTCTTTCTGGCGGCTTGCCTGATTAGTAGTTTACTCGAATTGCCTTGCTTTGCGATTTTACGGCATGGGCTCGTCTCCTCTTGTTGCCTCAACTGCATCCCCTGCACACTTGTCCCCAAGCAGCTCCATCACGCAGAGACCAATGCCGTCGAAGTTGTGTGGGCGCTGGAGATTGCCTCACGAAGTAACCGTTGTCAGGCTGTCAAAAACTCATCCAAGTAGAGCCCTGATCACGATGCCCTACCCGTGCAAAAGCAGCTGAATAAGACCTCACACAAAGCCGCTCTGCCTCGGAGCTTGGTAAATAACAAAACGCGCTGACCTTGTCTTCTTGTGTTGCAGTCCAGGAACTGGTGCCAGGACCGCAGAGGACGAGGCAATCACCCTGCACAGGAAAACAAGGCGCATCGAAGGCATCTTCCAAACACGACATGACTTGTAAGGCAAGGAAGGAGCTGCGCTTCGAGACGGCGCCGGCCTTCCGCCCCCTCTGTTGCACTTGCTGTTGTTGCATGGATAGGGCTACCACATTGCATGGCTTGTCATTGGCGAATGATTCATGCAGTGTTGGACTCTCGCGTGCGAAGGAGGGCACGTGTGGCCCGGTCGGTGTGACTGTGGGTTTGACGACGCCATGTGTTCACAAACATCCATGCAGTGTCAGGGCTAGCGCTTGCAACAGCAGGCCTCGAATTTGAAAATGTAGGGAATGGCCGGCGGAGGGCAGCTGGAGCCGGCTGGGATGACTTCGATGTCAAGGTGGCATGGGTCCTCGAAAAGGCAGTTTATTACATCTATATGGCTCTTGACAGACCGCAATGCTCAACTCAAAGGCTGGTCCGCGGCTGAACTCCAACAGGCTCCGCGGCATGAACCGGCATATCTTGGTTGAATTCATACCGTATACCGGCTATGCGGAGGATGTCGGCCTATGTCGGCTTCAGGGTGTGCGCACGCATCTGAGGTGGGACGCGCATCTACATGAATCTGGAAGAAGCCCGAAGCCCCTCCCAGAAGAAGCGGTCCTTCGAGCAGTCCATGCGGAAGCATGCCTCTTGGACGACTGTCGGTACAACAGTGACAGTGGGAGCTGAGACTGTAGAAGCAACTCGCCTTCTCTGGACCGAGGACCGTGTTCCAAGAGTTGAACTTTGGATCCCTGAAAACCAAGCAGGAACACAACCACGAGCTGTGGCCTCTAGTGTTTTGCCCATAACGGTGATGTTCGCATGAAGGCAGTCGTGAGAGAACTCAATGCGCTGGCGGTAGCCTCCAAGAGCCTGTCACCGCACTTGCTCGCGGGCCGTGGACACGAAACCACACATGCCACGGCATCCTATTGGGCGACGCATTAATCACGCTGACCTCATGTTGCGAAACACTCGCAGACTTGCCAAATCCAACTCCGAAAACGTAGTTAGAAACACACCGCCCACCCCGCCATTTGTAAAATCCAAGCAGCAAAACCAAGAAGCATCGAGGGCGAATCTTACTGAAATGACAATGACTTGGCCCTCTAGTACTCTCTGGGGGGCAGGAACGGGGGTTCTTATTATGCGAAGTGGACAGTACTTAAACATCCGGCTGTGTCAGTTGTTGTTGCAACTGCCAGTGAAGCACTGGGCACGCGCCGTTTCAGTCTTACTCTTATTGGTCTGGCCGCGTGGACAGATAACAAGAGATGCTCTCAACGCGCCACCCGGCATTCAGTTCTGCTGTCGCAAAGTCTCGCTGCAAGTTGTTCTGGCTTGATTAGCTCCATGCACCCGACACTGAAGTTGGGGCTTGAGGCTTGACTTGCAGACGCCTTGTTGACGGTGCCCTCCCAAACTCCCACGATGCGGGCGTCGAAGGCAGCCTGGCTGAAGCGGCCGAAGTTATCCTGCAGATTTGTATGAGGCCACAGGGTTAGATTGTCTGGGGCTGAGGCTGGTCACAAAAGCACAAACGCAGAATCATAGCTTATATGACAAGTGTCGCAACGGCGAGCTATCCGAGAGGAACAACAGAACACAGCTTGGTCAGGTTGTCATAAGGAGTCGGGCTATTCGACCGGCATTTTCATCATCGCGACAGTCCAGAACACGACAGTCTCATTACATGCACATTTCATGCGCCACTCCTTGTCGATCCCTCCCACAAAACAGAGTGAGGTGTGCAGAGCAGTAGAACCTCTCCGACCTCTCCTGCTTGGTGAATGCCGCAAGGTGGGACATGGTCTCGTCGGTCATGGATGCTCCATAGTAGTGGGAGGCAGAGTCCTCGTTTGTCTTCTCCTGTGCCGAGGCCACAGTGGATCTATCGCTGCCAGTCTCCATGTTGCCGATCCCCGACTGCCTGGTCCCTGAAACAGCCCCAAAAAGGCTAGGTCGAGCTGCCTCCGAACTCTCGAGCATGCCCGGCATGCCCAGCTTGTTGAGGTCGGCCAAATTGGCGACAATGCCGGAGTTGGACCGTGTGTCGCTGGTGGGCTGTGTGGAGCCACCCGAGGACACACTCTTCTTGGCCTTAGCTGCGAGGCCGAGCAGAGGCTCAGTTTTGCTGTTTCACGGATATTGTTGCCTCCAGTGTGCTAAAATGCCCAGACCAGACAATTTGCAACAAATTCCGGTCCTGCCTGGTGGACAAGACGTCAGGATGCCGTCCGGTCTACATCGACGATATATATATATATATGATAATAATCTATAAATTATATACATACATACATACATACATACATACATACATACATACATACATACATACATACATACATACGTATGTATGCGTGTATATATATATATATGTGTGCGTGTATACATTTAATATTATATATATATGTATATATAGATATAGATATATGTATTTGTTTATTTATACGTATATATATATATATATATCCACTTCCAGCAGTTGAAGGCCAGGGGCCTGGAAGCTTTCGAAGCCCACCACACCCACATCTGTCTCCTTGGCCTCGTTCATGGTAGGCGTGGTGAACCTGGGCCGCTCAAAAAAGCACAGTCGCAAGATTGAAATTGACTCTATGATTACCTTTGCTGCGTATGCTAATCCCCAAATTCCGAGAATCTGATAGGCCCTCACTCAACCGGCTTTAAAGAATCGAGCATTTTCATCCAGGTGACTGGATGGCAGCGACTAGCTGACGTTCCTTCCCAAAGCTCAAAGCCGAACGGGGCACCACCGAGAGGTGGATCGTGGCATCGAGACGTGTGCCGCTGGCGACCTTTTGCAAGAGTCTTGCAAGTTTTGCTGCAGGAAATTCGTAAAGGTTGGACACATCGGGTCGAAAGACTTGAGGAAGGACAGTTCTCAGAGTATCTTCAAGAAGTCGCGGGGATTCTCGGGCGTATTACCGCAGCATTGGCGATTTGGGGTCGAATCCGGCCTTGCATTGCATCTTGCTGTGCAGGACCTGTGCAATGGGGGGCCTCGGATGCTTTCAGAATCTTTCAGATTCGCGGTCTCCTACTAAGCATCCAACACTCCAGAACGCCTCGATTTCGGACACAGCGAGATCCATATTTACGGCAAGCTCTCAAGCATCTGTCCGCCAAAACTCGATAGAAGTCTCACGGCTTCACAGTATTACCACAATGCTACTGGGAATGGCAGTAAGGCGCAGGAAGGCAGTAGGGCCTTTCTTACCGAGCGACATGGCGTCCGCTTGACACGTCCAGGAACCCTGGGTTGATAGCGTCGCCTTAGAGACAGACTCTGTGTCCGTCCGTGTGCGTGCGTGTGTGCACGCACCAACCCGTCCCAAGAGTGACCCGAAGTTCAGAGATCTTGAAAGTTGCGCATTGGTGTGGCAGATGCGCCGGTGGTAGGCAGGATAACACTCTATGACAATGGCCTCATGTCTGCACCCCCGAGGCAGTGCAGGCTGTGGGCACGGCAATGTTTGAGAAAAGCCACCTCGTTGAAGGACTGGGGGCAGTCGGCCTGACGCACCACATTCCGAACCTTGGCGACTTTGGGATGTTGAGCAGACATATGCGTAGGGCGAAGTTAAGCATTTTCCAAGCACTCAAGAAGCCCTGTCCAACAGATCATCGCGATTTACTTACCAGCCGCCGACCAAGTCATCTCGATAGGCGGGCGCAGAAGCTTCCTTCGAAGTCGCCGGTTGTCTCCGAGGAGGACAATGCGGACAAGGTGCATAGGAGGAGAAGTCTGCACGGTCCTGGTCCCCGGCCAGCAGGTCTTTCAGGTTGGCGCCGGCGATGGGCAAGCCCAGAACCTTCTCCTCGCCATCGAAAGGGGTTGCAAGGACCCCATTCTGTCGCCATGGAGCATTACGACATAAAATAATATAATACTATTAAAACCCTTTCCACGAGCCCATGAACAACTGCCTCAACTAAGCAGGCGAGGCTCCAGCTTAGTCATGTCCCCAGAGTGTGTGCTTGGCAGCTTGCAGCGGCCCCCCGCATCCAGCACACAGGGCAGAATGATGTCGAAGCTCCTTGTGAAACTCAGAAGCTTCGGACTCGGGCTTCAGGAAAAGCCCTTCACAAGAACCCTTCGGCCGCAGCGAAAGCCGTACGCGCTCGCAAAGCCTGGTCCCTACAGTAGGCCTATATATGTTGCTTTGTCACAGCACCCGCGCAAGATCGAGACCATCGCCACGTTCGAAACGGAAACCTGAGGGGCAGCAAGGCTCCGGTTGTCCGCGATCCACGGCAGAGCACAGCCCCGCCTTTCGCAGTACATCGGTCAGTGTCTTGTGGTACTCGTCCGCGCGGATGAAGACGAAGGCAGCGCTGTAGGCGAGTTTCGAGCCGAAGGTCCTGATGCCAAGGACGGGTGCGAGTCCGTTCGAGGCTCAGGCACAACGGCGCGTTTTGCACACCCTGTGTTTTCAGCCCTGGGTCAAGGCGAAGAAAGACTTCCGCTCCAAGTGGGCTGAGATGAAACCGACCGTGGAAGCGACGTAGACCACCCCGTAAAGCAGCAAGTGCAGCACCAAACCGGAGGAGAGCAGTGGGCGAATGCTCCTGGCGGCTTTCGATTGGCTAGTCAAGTCATTAACTGCTGAACATCGCAGTCCTGATTTAGGTGACATCTGTATTTGCGTTGCACATCCAGAGCTGATGACAGAGCCAGAAACACTTTCTTTGCTTGCTCCTCTCCTTGCGGGTAAATCCATGGGAGCGCTTCGCTCGAAGGCCACACACCAACCCAGCATGTCGTAGGAGGCCCAGCCGTACATAGCGAAGGACACAGCAATCAGCAACCACCTCTGGCAGGTCCGGATCGGCTTGGGTGGTCCAAAAGGAAGTCTTGCAAACTTCAAGCTCAGAAATCTGTAGAGATAGGGACGAAGACGAACAAGAAAGCCGACGCGGCACAGCTATCGCCACTTCGCAGAAAGCTACGGAGATCCTGCGGCCTGCACATAGTGCCAACCTCACAACCTATATGCGCTGAGAGATGTTGAGAGCTTCCGGCTAAGTCTGCAACCAAGCTGCTTCAAGACCGCACTCTCCGTCGCTGTGGCCGCCCAGCATAGAATCCTCAGCCAGGTTTTTTGGTTCCTGTGGTCTTGAACGACACGCTGTCGTTTCAATCACAGCAGTGTCGGATACCCGTCTCGACGACAGTCGCATGTACGATCGCCCGGAGACTTACCTTACCCGAAGTGGCCGATAATTGAAGTGTCGCAAGCGTTCTTGCATGGCATGTATGCTCGACGGCAGCCTAGATGCACATAGATGTTGGTGACTACCAGAGGCCGCGTGATCTCCTCCACAGACAGGGGAGTGGCCCTCCACGAATGTGCGCAAACCAGTGTGCAGCCTTGACAAGTCCTTTTCTTCTGAGCGCCATACTGGGCCACCTGCTTTCATGCTTCTGAAGACACAACGCTGCTTCCCCTTCACGCCTTCTACATCCACGAACCCTGCCTGCCAAGAATAGAAGCAGTTCTTCGATGTTTATAGGAGTCGTTGATGTTATGTGTTGACCACTCATTTCGCAGAATCATGCTCATTCTGTTCGCATGGAAACGCGACTGTCGTAAAGTGTTCCGAGGCTGCCGACTGTATCAAAAGTCACAAGCTACACTTCTGATACCTCTTTACAAATACACGATTCCGAACTATTTCCACCTGAGCCTCTGAACTCCCCTCGCTGACATCCTGAAGGGGTCGGCCCATGCTGCAGTAGCCAGCCAAGATCAGCAGGATGGGCACCTGGCCATGTAGAGTCACCCTGAGATATCGCATCCGCCCGCCCTGGCTTGTCTTCGCACTTGCTGAGTCCTGCGATTACATTGAGGAATTGCCCTGCTCACAGTTTGCAAGGGCTCCGCGGCGTGAATATGCAGCACTCAGCGCTTGAAGAATAAGCAATGTCTTTCGTGTGACTGGGCACGTTGATTCCCCATTCCATGTACCTTAGCTGCTTTCGACTCCAGGACAGCTGTCGCCGTTCGCCCTAACACACGTAACCTGTCAACCAGTTTTAAGCTTGAGGCTCCCACATCGCAAGCCACAGCAAGCACGGCATTTCCAGTGATGCGAAATGATTAGAAAAGTTTGGGTAATGCCTGGGAACAACAAGCCCATACCACTCTGACACGCCCAAGCTGCTGCAACGTGTACACAGGCCGTCCCACCGAGGTAAGGCCGTCTGGACTGGGCATGACATGTGCCACAGTCCAGTCTGCACGGGAGAAGAGACGTTCCGCAGAGGCCAGAACGCCGAACCTCGCTTGGGATGACAAACTTGGTGAGCTTGCTTGTGGCTTATGATTCACAGTCGCACTTCGATTTGGTACAGTGGTCGTGCGAGTTTGTGAGTCTCTGGCTCAGGCTTGGGGCTTCGGGATCGACACGACTAGAGACTGGAGTGATAGTGATAATCGTATCGTCTTGTCCATCGCAAGAAAAGTTTCGCAGGGTGCTGCTAACACATGTGAAGTTCCGGGCACGCGCGTATGACTAGCTCGGGGCTTGAGCATTCGAAATTCTTGTTCAGGGAAGGCTCACTTTACGAAGTCCAAGCGACGTGCCGACTGCAAAACGAACTCAAGGGTGAAACAGGGTCAGTCTGAACAGTCGAAATAATAGACTCTGCCTGCGACCACGGAGCATGAGGGCCAGCAAGAACGTGGGCAAGCACTTGCTTTTGAGGTGCGGGATCAAGGACTGCGCAAAGGCTTTTTAGATAGCGAACGACCTAACTTCCTAATTTACTGATCTACCTGACACAGTGCTAGGTTGAAGGGGGCTTGATCTATTTTGATTTGATGTACATTGCCGCTCCATGCGTCAGGCCTTCAGCCATAATTAGTTATTAGTTATTAGCCAGCCCAGGTTTGGTCTTATCTGTCCAGGCACAGTCTCAAATAGGAGCCATGGGCAACTGCACTCTTCCAGCTCTTGAAGTGCACAGATGCTTGCCTGGGTGTGCTGTGCACCCATGTATGTCGCAATGAGGCTCATCACCTCGTACATCACCTCAGCTGTTCGCGCAAGGCTGTGTACCACCCTCCTAAACTGCAGCGTGTTACAGTCGAAGGCACACGTGGCTGAATTGAAATCCGGATATACACTCAGCGAGCGATATTCTGCGACCGTGTCCCGGAAGCAAGTTCGGAATGCTTCCCTACCGTGCTCCTTCCCTGAGGCAGCCTTCCGGCGTGTCATTGAAGCCTATCATTGAGTTTTGCGACTAGTGACACTCACAAGCACAAGTTCGCCGAATCATGAACTGCTGCTTCCAAAGCCCAAAAGCCCCAGCAGCTTCAAAAATCCTCAAGTGTCCATAGCCCTGCATCCATTCCCAGTGGCCATGGTGAGCAGCATCGCGCAGGAAATCACATGCCAAGATCCAGGGTAGGTCTTCAGGTGCCGGGTGCAGGCGGGCACCTGACGACATCTTGAAGTGGGAGTTTCGGAGAGTCCTCTGTGCTCAGAAGCTGCGCTGAGCCCGGCTGAAGGGCTCAGCTGAATGCAACAACATTCGGCATCACAAGAGCGTGTTGATGCAACGAGCAGTTCCGGATTCTTTCCTTGATCAGGAATGCAAAGGCTTCGTCTTGCTCATGTGTGTCAAAGCAGCCGGCCGCCTCGTGACAGCTAACCGGACTTACCACCAGCCAGCACACCAGCCATGTGGCAAGCGTGGCAGCAACCCATACCTAGCGACATCCAAAGGAGGGGCACTACCCGCTGGCACTGGAACCGGGGAAGCTAGTGAAGCTAGGAACGCCAGTCGGAAAGTACACGAGCCAAGCCAAAGATCAAGTTGCTCTTGCTCCGCCATCTATGAGGTACCGGATACAACTTAAGTTTAACAGATGATACGGTAGTGACTCATGGGAATGCTCGTCACGAGAGAATCATCAACATTCCAGCTTTTCAGAATAACCCAAGCAGCAGGGACTAGACAAGTTTCAATGTGTGGTTGCTGTAGTAGCTTGTCCCTCGACAACCCACGACAACTGATGCAGGGCTCGCTCCGGGCTGACGGACACAATGAGTGGGCAACCACGGAGCAAACGAGGCAGAAGGAGAAAAAACAAAGCATGCACAAAAGTGTCGACAATTGACATCGATCTGGGATGTTGCCGGCTCGACATGCACGTGGGTTCGCTCCAATTGAAACTCTAGCCGACTCATAGCCACATGCGATCCACGAAAGGGCTTTCACCGGAACACGTACATCTTACCTACAACAACAGTCTGCCCATGTCTGCCCTATATCCCGCAGTGTTTGGAAAACGGCAGCAAAGCCTGGGCAGGCAAGGAGGGGATCCACTCTTCAAACCGAGTTGCCGGCAGTTGATTGAGCAACGTGGCTGTGGCTGGCGCCATGTTGTCGGGCAGAGTCAAAGCAGTACACAAAGCTGACGAGCTGACGGCTGGTCCAAAAACGGCTGCGGATACAACAGCCCGAGCATGAAGCTCTAGAAGAAGATACACACAAACGCGGAAGGTTCGAAGATTCGCTGAGCAAAGCCTTTCCCAACAAGGAGCTTCGAGATTCGGAACCCCTGAGAAAGTTAGTGCTAGTGTAATCCAGAATCAACCGACACAGGCATGTTGGAGCACTCTTTCGGCTGCACTGTTCGGCGGCGTATGTTCCCCCCGTAGCCATGTCTGAGGTGGCCCAAGGTGATACCCCCGCACCCTGCTACCTCGGGCTCAGCTACAGCAATGGTGGTGCCTCGTTCAGCTTCCAGAGAAGTCCCAAAGAGAATGTCCAAGCATTGCCCTTCGCACAGGCGGCGATGGCCTAATCTGGCACGTGGTCTTGTTGCCGAAGGGGGTGATGGCTGTGCAAATAGCAGGTGCGGGTGTATGTTATACACATGCATAAACGCTGGCTTAGGTTGGCTCATAACTTCGACTTACCCCGTCTATTTGGCTTTGGGCTTGGACAGCATTTCGACTTCGGCTTTCGTGAGGATGGGTTGAACGAATCCTGGCCGGCGGCGCTGTTGCAGGTGACCACATTCGGCAGAACCTGCGGGTGCACGACAGAAGCCCACTCCAAGTTCTGTTACAAGGGAATGCCCCGGGGCATCTTCGGGCCGGCAGTCCTCGGAGGACACCATAGACTCCAGCAGCCAAAGGGCTTTTGTCCAATGGCCTCAGATAGGAACATCCAGGCCAAAGCTACAGAGAACCCCTCCGGCCACTCATCTCCCGAAGAAAGCTCCGGCACCATTGTAAGAGCTCCACACGTGGTATCCAGCAGTGGCAGGGTGTGACCCCTTCGATGATCTGTTGTTGCGGAATCCCTGGTTTAAGCTCCCGACAAACGGTTAACGGGCTTCGAGAAAGGCATAGATTCGAAAAACAGCATTCCCATCAACGGACGAAAGCAGTGAACAGGAACACACAAACAAGCATCCAAGGGGCTGCCGCAGGCGCTGATGGCCGAACCTGTCATCTCAGCGGGCGGACGGCCACATGCAAAGGTCCAGGCATGATGCCTCAGGAGTACCTAATTGTCAGACCTGCTTTCGATGCCAAAACGGAAAGCTTCTTTAAACCCTTTCAAACCGACTTTGAACCGCCGTGTGCTTTCAGTTTATGCCTCCCTCTCTGGTCTCGCGGCTCGCGATTGCATGTTTCGTACGGTATCCATCAAATCTACACACTTGGTTTTGCAAACTTGCTCGAATGAGTTTCCTGATATCTACGCCGAAAAGTTAAGCTGACCAGCAACTAAAAGCATAGACGTTGGGCACCACGCGCT